CAGCTAAAGTTTAGGAATGCACTTTTGTTATTGGATGCAACCAGCGGTTCACTCCTAGATACAAAAGTGATCATGTGACTTGTTAGGAAATGGCTTTCCATTTTGATAGTTTTTCCCACAAATCAGACCCTAATGCGAAAAGGAGCATGTACCCAAAGCACTAGACACAAGAGACGTAAATATTTACATGCGTAAAATGTGCTGTGTCAAACATAGGTCCCCATATAGACAGAGGATTCATCTGCCAATTCCTTACGTTCCCAGGTTGCCTGAGCAGAAGAGAAGAGCCAAGCTTGCAGGTTCCTGCTGTTAGCCCTTTAAATCAGCCTCAACCAATCTAATGCCTTCCCAATGTGTTTGGTTTACGACTCAGCAGGCTGGCTGGGAGCTGTAATTCCAGTCTATCTGGAGTACGTGAGATTTGATCAGGCTAACTTAGAGTTACGGTTACATGTGCACGTGCTAATCTTTCAATACTGGAGAAACAGTATAGAAATGCCATAATGAAATACGTTTTCTTAGTCAGCACAGCAAATGTATGACTTTCAAATTTTCAGCATCTCTCTGCTCCCACTCACACATCATCTGATAACTGAAGCCCTAAATCCATTTGGTATTAAATAATACTGTTTGCTGGTGTCTGACAAAAACATCTCAGAAAGAAGGTAAGTGAGACTGGAGAATCTTCTTCAGTGCACACTCTAATTTGCTCATTTACATGAAATCTAGCGTTAGCAAAAGCATTCTAAAATAAAGCAGCAGCCAGCCACCACAAAGTAAAAGAACCCAAAGAGCATTTTCTTGGAACTGGTGCACTGTAAGCAGCACAAAACCCTGTTAAGGGCTCCATTAATTTTCAAGAATTGGTCTGAAGCTCTAATCCAGTGACAGCCCATGACACACGTGTCAAAGGTGACACGCCACAATGTTTTGGGTGACACGCCAGCATTCACCAACACCCGACAACTATTCTCCTTGTTTGAGTTACCAAAGAAACTGAGTTTGTTTTACTCATATTTCCTTTTTATAATTATTTGACGTTTCTTTATATAAGACATAGCACCACACAATTGGACTGTTTTTTTTTTTTTAAGTAAATGAATATGTAAAGAATTGTTTCTCTCTTGTTTGGGGTGGGGGGTGACCCACCAGCAGAGTCAAGTTAGGCATTTTCCAAATTTTTGACATGCCAAGCCCAAAAGGTTTGCCATTACTGCTCTAATCCCAAACTACCACCTGTTCAAGTATCAACAAGTTACCCAACAGAAACAGAAAAGCAATTTTCTTTAAATGTCTGAAATGCAACATTGTAGTATTTGCACAAAAGACTATGGCATAAGTAAGACAAAGTCAAGCCCACACAAATGTTTTACAGAGTCTCTCTCTAGGGCTGTAATACATTGAAAAAAACTTAATCTCGTCGGCTGGGGTGGTGCCTTTGGTACAAGGAGAACACACAAGGTAAGAAGCCATGTCAAGAAGTCAAAGGACCCTTTTAAAAGTGAGTTTATGGTTTTTTAAGTATCACACACACACACAAAAAAAGCCCAGTAAGATTTATGACTCAGGTTTGGAGTTCCATTCCATTATGGTCATGGCAGCACTTTTGTCCATCAAAAATACAAACCGAATAAATATTATATATCCAAGTGACTGATGTTCAGAAACAAATGCATTTCTTCTGGAGCCAGTGGTGTAAAAACGTGTGCAATAAGAATAAAAAGAAGGAAATATGTTTTCCTGCATATATTTTAGAAGATTTCAACCCAGGAAATGGGAAACGAAAGCACTGCCTTGGAGATACACCTTGAAAATGGTGCTTCAAAGCATTTCCTTTTTCCTCCAGAAGTGTAGGACCCATTGTTCTTTCCAGTTTTAAAGCAAGAAATATTTTGCCTTAAAATGTCTACATGGAGGTCCCTGTTTTTTGCAAGGATATAGATAACATGGTCTGTCCATGGAAGTCACTGATTATCAAGCCAAGGTATACTGTAGGACCTAAGGCCATGTAGCAACTGGTTGCCAAAGATGAAGAATTTCCAGGTTAAAATTAAAATTGTTCTCAGTTGCCAGTCAACCATTTGCTTATGCCTCCCTCCACTCAAATTTTGCAGCCAAAAGTAGCCTGCAAGGCTCAGCTTTCTTTGGAGTTATTGGCATCCCTCCAGCTCATGACACTGACAGCAGTGCCTGGTGGCATTTTGGCAAAAAGAAAAAAAGAAGAAACCACTGCCCCCTTGTAACATTTATTTTTGTTTTAAGCTTAATGCTAGGTAGTTCTAAATGAGATATTCTTTCTGCCTTTTTATTTATGGATCCCTGCATATGGTGCAAAGTGGATGGTTGAGATTTGTGAGATGGGGGTTGGGTAGTGTATGCCTATTTTTGGGTGATCGTGAGCAAAAGGATTGAGAGGGAAATCCAGAAGAAAGCTAAAACAAATACACAGGCATGTTCTTCATTATTACTCCCTGGGCCTCTCTTTCAAGTGACAAAAGGCAAACTTCAAATACCCAGGCTGAGATATATGTAGTTTTTCATGCAAGCTCATGGCAGACCAAGTTGGTAACAGGTAAAGCTAATCTGCCTGAGATTATGTACTTGCCCAAGGAAAACAGGAACCTACAGGCACAGATGCATGGATTAAAAGGTACCGAAAAAGAGCTCATGTGTATTTCCCCCCAACAGAGAGACAGTTAGAAAGAGGACAAAAATAATCCTCCTACAAATAGACCCACAAATAAATAAAATAGTCTGTTTCTAAAAACTAATGTTACAAATAAAGTCAGTAGTCCTTGGTATCCCTGAATTCAGGCATGCTCCACATTCTTCTGGTGGGATCCATGCCCCTCTCTACATCTTCTGAAATGGTCTTGATATCACTGCTGAACGGGGCAATCCTGATGCGGGATTTGAACGTGGCGAGGGAGAGGCTGGTTTTGTGCTTGGTGTTCCATTGCCTTGCAAGTTTCTTGGCCTCCTCTTCCTCTTTGATCTTCTCAGTGGCATCATGCAGAACAGAACGGAAAAGCCGAGATGTTTCCCCAGGCTCTGGTTCATATTCAGCAATAAGTTGCCGAAATCTAAGAAACAAATGAACAAAGAATCTAGCCTTAGAAGGGTATATACAGTCCACCTTCGCTTAAACCCTCAGAGCTGAGAGTTATAGATGCTACATTATGTCATTCTCCCATGTATCAGGTTTTACACAACTTCTACCACCATCCCTCTTGGAGGGAAGGGCACATTTCTCTATGTTTACACAATGTATATCCTGCATGGTGTTTTTACTTATACTGACTTATACATACTGTCTCCTGGTAGTCAATATGAACTAACAAAAGGTAGTTCATGACCCCTTTTCATCATTTGAATTTCAATATCTGTATCAAATATGGGTCCTCTTTAAAAAAAGGAATCACTTTGCACTACAAATTCAATGCAGTGATGTTACTTGGTTAAATTGGTAGTAGGTAACAAGTTATCCTACCCAAACTTTGCCAAGCAAAAGATTTTTATAAGCAGATTTCTGGATAAAACCTATGAGACAACTGCAAACTTTTGCATGAAAAGACAGAATATGGCCTTGAAACAACTGATTGCATTTATGACATATTTCTGTAAGTGATTCACACCAAGAGTTCCCAAAAAGGTTCACAGTACTCAGAGCTGAATTCTTCATATATACAAGCACAATCAGCATTCAGTAATTGATTCTAGAAGTGTCATTTAGAAAGACGTGACTCATTTATGAATTATTCATAAACACGTTTAAGAAACAGGAAACAATGGTTTACACTGCCTTTTTTATTTCAGTTCAGCTAGTCAAGGAGGCGGGGGAGGGGGGATCAATCAAGTCTCAATGCTGGATATTCAAGAAAATTCCCTTCATCAGGTGTCCTCCAAATGTGATGAATTTCAGAATCCATAATTCCTAACCAGAACAGTCTTTGGAATTATGTTACTGCCACTTAACACTCATGCCATATACATGACAGATTGCAAGTAAATACCTAATAATGATTGGTCCACAGTAGGATGGATGTATTTTGGAGCACATATCCTCCAGCTGCAGACGCTCCCCTGGACTGATATCATAGCCGTGCTTGGGGTGGCTAACCAGCCAGCCATAATCAACTCCTGTTTTGATCTTGCGATATTCATTTTCTCGCTCCCGCTGTTGTTTCTCAGCTTCTTTGATCTGCCAGTCAAGCTCCATCATCAGGGTTTCAGTCACCATTTCCATTGGGCTCCTTTGAGAGATACGACTGGAAGGTTCATTCCACCCAAACCAGGATGCCAATGCCATGTTCTCCTTTTTCCCTTCCTTTATCTGCAAAGGGCAAATAAAAACATAACTATTTATGTTTGCAGCAGATAGGGTGGGCATCTTACATGTCTATTCATGCACGCACACACACACACAAATATGATATTGCGCACACAAATACATTACTCAGCTGTTTCTGTTAACAAAAATGTTCACATTCTAGTCAGCAAGAAAGACCAATATGAGAACAAGGGTATCAGTGACTATTAGTCATGAAGGCTGTATCAGAGGCAGCAGGTCTCTGAATTCTAGACAGCGTCAGCATAAGTAGAAGAGTACCATTGTACTCATAGTCTTCCTATTGACCTCCAATGACCATTTTATCAGCTATTGTAGGAAGAAAGTGTTGCAGTTGTTGGATTTGGTCTACTCCAGAACAGCTATAGATAGATAGATAGATAGATAGATAGATAGATAGATAGATAGATAGATAGATAGATAGGTAGGTAGGTAGGTAGGTA